CCCCCAGGAAGTGCCGCAGCGGGGTGCCAGTGCCACGGCTCCGCACCACTCGTTGCGCTTCGGAGCTCCTGGGCTGAGCCGGGCGTCGTCAAAACCCGTCACAGACTCGCCAACCCAACGCCCGCTTGGCCTTCAAAAAGGAGCGCTCAGAGGGGCCGGATAGCTATTTGAATGATCTTGATACTGTACTTAATGTTGGAAGATGATCATCTGACAAAACACATAGCCTCAACTCCATCATCTCATTGAGCACCTTGAAAGACGTCATGGTTTCCTGAGCAGTGGTGCATGCCTGGTGGCGTTGCGTTGATGGTTGGCGCTAGCTGATGTTTCTGCACAGTGACGTTCGAATGATGCGTGGAAAACCGAGAAAAGCTTTTCGTAAATATGTTGGTGTTCCAAGCTCCGTGTTTGGATTTACATCTGCGCCCTCGCAAGAAACACCAAACAGTAGGAGCAATCAAGAAATCAAGAGCCAAACAACCAACGCCCAAGTTCAGCTCCCAACCACTTCGAGGTCCTTGGTTGAATTACCACTGATAGATGGACCAAGAACACACGGTATGGCAAAGGCTGCCACGAAGAAGGTTTTGGGTTGGGACCCCACAGCCTCCGCCAAAGCTTCTTGCTGGCTGTTTTCATGGGAAACCGAGAAGCGGAAGACGGGAGGAAAGCCTTTTTGGGGGGTTGGGGGGTTCATGTTTCTGCTTACTAACGCTGTGTTTCCCTGCTTGGCCGGCGAATGCCAACAGATTAGTGGCAACGGAACAATGACGCCCCCCAGTTGTCATTCAGTCTGGACTCAAGTCATCCTCCGAGATGGGGTTGCACAGGTTGATGGCCCGAATGCTGTCATCACTGGCATCGCATTCCTCGCCGATGCGAATGGCGGGCAAATGCCAGAGCCAAACAGTGCCTTCTGAAGACTAACAATGCCTACTCTCCACGCCCAACGCAACATTCTTCAGAAAAGTGTCTAGCCCGTTCGTCTTCCCAGGCGTGCGTCCTATAGTCGCAAACTAAACGTTAGACAGTTTGAATGGCTGTAGCATGCTTGGCTGTTGCTTCCGAGAGTTTGGCATTTTGTCTTTTTTTGGGTAGAACGCGCAAGAGTTGATTGGCTCTCTCCACCTGCTCCTTTGAAACTCAAGCAAAGCTATGACACGTTTTGGAAACTTGAAACGATTGACGGCATGTCGTCCAGGGTTGGCCTGGCTCGAGATGTCACCATCAGAGTTCTATGCTTGACGAAAGGCTTAGCCCAATGCTGCGATTTCGCCTGACGCTTGGAATGTGGGAATATTGTTTCGTTTTGTGGGAAAGCAAGGGGTTTCCAATCCCTACGGATTTCACCGTGTGCCACGCCGCCCGCCCTTCTCCTCCGCGCACTGCAAGATCACCTCCGCCGGCAGCGTCAGTTGCTCCAAGGTCCCGTGCAGCACCGAGGCGTTCGAGGCATCGGCGGCGCTCAAACGCGCCAAGGGACCCTCCCGGAGCATCCGATACCGCCTACGGATGCAGATGGGCGTGTTTTTTCTTTTGCGAACACCGCTCTTGGAGAGGTGTTGAGATACCAAAAGGAACTCAATCAAAAAAGGGGTTTCCCTATTTTGAGACGCGGCGGTGCCGTTCACAAGAGTAGGCCGCCAATTGGTTGTTCTCTTAAATGCTGGATGGCACCCTCGAAACATGCATGGTGGACAAATCCATGTAAACATGCCCACCAAAAGGTGGTCGAGCAAACCCCAAACCGTGCGATTCGCTGCTTTTCTTTTTGAGGTGATTCATACATGGCCCTCCCGAAACAGGTTCCCCATGTCTCCCCTCTTCGGGGTTTGAATTTCTGTGGGTTCGTTTTGGGTTGGTCTTAGACCCCAAAACTTTTCTGCTGTTAGTGTTCTCCGGTTCGGGGAGGAACTTGTAATTCCCAAAGCTTGACAAATTGTTCGGACTTTGAGCATAGGCTAAGACATACTGTTGAAAGGCGACACCAAAGAGCCAATGCGCGGGCTTGTCAAACACATTGCCCAATTTGGTCAGTTCCTTCCTCATCGCCCTCCGACTTTCAGAGGGCGTACCCAAAAGGGGCCCCGAATTTTGACCTCCCGCAAAGCTGTAGAAAAACAGTCTTGCTTCCTTTGGTCTGTCCTGATCAAAGAAACGAGGGTTTCTCGAGGTAGTGGTTCAGCGTTAGAAACACTCAACCCAACTTTTGCGCCTCTTGTCGGATCATTTGAGCTGAGCGTCTTGCCTTGGACCTCCAGCTGCCCAAGTCCATCCTCAAACGGAAGATTCTGGCCCAGAAAACGTCCAAAGGTGTCCTGTGAACCAACCAACAAGAAAGCCAGCAAGCAAGCAAATTGGCAAAGCAAAGGCATTATGTTGTAACTGTAAAAATGGGGGGGTTGTTCTCAGGGGGGGGCGGGGTTGCCAGCACGGACATGACAAACAAGGCAAGGCAAAGCAAACCAAGACACTCAAGCGACCAACCCGGCAAGCCCACTCTTCTTCGAGAAAAAGCAAGTGCCGGCGCGGCTGTAGACTGACACGTTCACCCGATGTTGACAGTCAAAACGTATGCAGGCTTTCCTCCGAGCGTCCAAGTTTTCCAGCACAGCCTCCCGGTTCGCTTCGTCCGGGATGCTCAGGGCCAGTTGCTTGGGCCCGCAGTAAATGATCAAGTAAGCGCTCCGGCACCAATGCCTCGGTGAAGGGTTTTGCAAACCCAACTCCTGGATATGGATACATGTTTAGCGGGTACCCGCGGGAACCACACTTGCAAAACCCAGAGGAAAAACGGCAGGTTGGCTACTATGGCGGCACCCCCCTTCTGAATTTACCGCCCACTGTGGACGGACAAAATCAATGCCACAGTTGGTGGGCGGTTCGGTTCGGTCAATTACATATATATATATATATGTATATACACATATATATATATATATATACATACATACATATATAAACTAACATATGTATGGGTTTGTTTCATCCATCCCAAGTGGTACAAGATGCTGTCCATTTGCAGTATTGTTGAAACTAAATAAGGGTTTGTTTCATCCATCCAAATTGGTACAGGATGTTGTCCATCTACAGTATTGTTGAACCAACGTGAAACAACCTCCTTTTATATGTTTCGCCGTGATTCGCCGTGAAAGGGGGCCGGGGTCTGGCTGTAAAAGCCAAAATTTGCAGAACCATGTCGCTGACCTTCAAGGTGAGTTGAAGGAATGGATCTGGCAGAGTTTTCTGTTGAATGTTTGGCTGGGCATCTCTGCGTGCTGCAGCTTTCCTTTTGATAGATCAGCAGCCAACACTCCACGATGCGTGGAACTCTTGACATTCAACAGGACCGACAAAGGGGAACACCTAGGCAACAAACAGCTGCACAAGTGGTCGTAAATCAACTACGTACTGTAAATCAACCTCCCGCTTGTTTGCTCATGCTTTGTCACCCTGTGGCACTTAGCACTTTCAGCACAATGTCGCCTTCAGGATGAGAATGTGCCATGGACCACTCCGCTCTCCGAAGCGTCCTGTTTCTCACAGCCTGGGGGGACCTGCTCGCATCCGAAGGTAACCTGGCCAGCCTCCCGCACAGTTGTTCAACCCCACTTTCTCCCCCCTCCACCCATTCAACTTCGAGCGCCATGCGAAGCTGCGTCCCCCCATCCCACAAGTCCGAAGCGCACAAAGTTGGACATGCTCCGTCGGCTACTTTGCAAACTCTGCTGCAGCGTCTCAGACCACTGCCTGGCAGTGACCAGCACTCAACGCAATGGAACTGCGTGCCCACAAGCTAGGAAACGTGGAGCTCTGTGTACGCTCGCTTGATGAGATTGAAACGCCTTGGAAGCTAGCACGTTGTAAAGCAACTTGCTTGCATGTGGAGACGTGTTGTTCAAGGTCACATGTGGCTCAATATGCTCATGTTGCTTTGTCGTTTCCCTACGGTGGTTGTTGTGGTTATTGTGCTTCCCTACCGTGCCTGTCTGGCTGCGACACATAAAGAGTCGAACTGCAACTGCGGGGCTAAGCATCTCTCTGCACATATGCCTGTTCTTGTACGATGCAGCCAATTCTAATGCCGACCACGGCTAGTTTAGCATGCTGGACAGATCAAACAAGATCTGGCGGCCAACCAAAGTTATCGCACTCTGTCGCAAAATCTTGGCCTTTTTTTTCGCCACTATCAACTCGCGCTCAACAGTTTAAGATTTCCACGGTCACCTCGGCAAAGGACTGCTGACCAGTACTCCGTGACTGAGGTGGTTTTAAACATCGCTGTCTATACGAGTCATTCATGATTAAACAAGAGTGGGCGGCAGACTTGGCGAATTCCCGACGCTTGCTTGCAATCGAACGACCCGAGTGTGCGTCCTGAACCCGAAAGTAATTTGTGGTTTCCTGCAGGAGCTTCGGATTAAAGAGAGAATTGATGTTGATCTGCTATGACCAATTGTTGTGGTGAAGCTTACGAGTAGCATTTTCCCAACCAAATTTCCTTTTGCAAAGTTCTGTACTCTCGTTGCTCCAAAGGACGTGCAACGTGCACCTGCGCGGCCTGAGGCTAAACTATGTGACGGACAACACATGTTCAACGGCGTGTTGCGTAACCAGCCGACTTATCATGTACACCTTACTGCACCATCTGCACTATCAACAAATCACCAGGACATGTCAACAAAGACACTGGCAGTGGTTGTTCCTCAGCCTCTTCAAGAGTTCCATTTCTAGCTCATCAAAGCCTGGTTGCTCCTTTAGCTTTGACATGTTCACAGCCCACCGGCGTTGTTTGAGGATGTATGCATCTGTGTTCCAACTGCGCGCAAATCTGCGTTTGTTGATTGCATTGATTGCATGTGTTGATTTGACTGCGCTATTATTTGACTCGTTTGACTAGAACCAAACACAAAGGCACCTTTTTCGAACACAACACAATCTGAGACTTAAGCAACTTCATGAGATAGCCCCAAGACACGCGTTTGGCCAACTTCCTGTCGAATTTCCTGCTGGTTTGTATAAAGCAAAACCAGACCACGCCGGCGGGCCGGATGCCAATGCCTGGAGGAGCAAATGAGGCTCTGGCATCGCACCAAGCTTGCCAACTCCTCGCCAGTGAATTGGAGCATCATCTCCTCAGATCCGAACTGTTGCAAGATTGATGAAAAAACGGCCGGCCTCTGGCGCCCCACGAAGAGGCCAAAGGACGTTGTGAAAACAATCGTGACTTTAAGCACGCAAGGGCTTGGCCCAAGCTTAGAATCGATTTCCGTAGTACAATCAGGGACTGAACAAATAGACTAGGGATGCGAGGTACATTAGACCAAATCAATGCGTGATCCTGCGACAGCAATCCTTGCATAAACCCAAGCCCCCAAACAGAGCCCTTATGGGTCCGCTGCCTGAGGCCTGAGAGGGGAAACCAAGGGGAAACCACCCATTTTGGGGGGCCCCCAAGTTCCCACCACGAGTCAAATCCATGACAAAATCAGGTAAGTCCAGGATTGTGGCGACCATTCCAAGATTTGATCCCCTCTGCCTGTCAGAATATGGTACTTGTATTGTCAATGTGGCAAAGCTCAGTGCCTCACATGAGGTTGCTACGAAAAGGCATCTGTGGGATTGCGCCAGAAGCATTCATTCCAAAAGTTTGGGAGTTCCATTACTTAGACGCAAAACCATGCACGCAGAGTCTCGGGATGCGACCCAATCTCTGAACCCCCTGGGCGGCTGATCAAACTCGAGCCATGGATTGTCGAAGGTTGGACATTTAAACACAAAGCACGGAAAACACAAAACATCGGGCCAAGTCTCATGCCGTGAGGGTAGCGGACAGGAGAAGCGTTGGAGGCACACGGTGCAATGCGTCATGCGCCGATCCTCCGCGAAAAGATCAGGATGGGTTGGTTGCGTCACCAGGATGGATCGTTGCCACCGCCTCAGACACTCCTCAGAAGCGGTGAATGGTAGGCCCAACCCCCATGCCGGGTGGACACCTCTAGGTAACATGGTTCTGTCTTGTTTGCGTTTCTGTACTGATTTGCTTGGGACTCTGTTGTAGATAGGTGCACGTGGTTGGGCCCTTTGAAGCAGAAACAAACGTTGTGGCTTCTTAATATTTTTGGGAGACATGGTGAGCAAAGTGGACTATGAACTTGATGGGTTATCCTGATGGATCTGGCATGTCTTTACACTCTACTGTTGGTTTACTGCAGCTGCTACGTCGTTTTATGGAGTTGCAGTGGTGCCTGTGGTTCATATTGTTCCCACACTCATTGACACTGGGGTCTTGTTTTAACACCAGACGACTCTCTCTCCTGAGCGCACGTCCTCTCAGGGGACGTGCGCCAAATCAGACCTTCTGAAATCCAGGCCCGTTTTGCGCGCCATTCGCGATTCATCTAGGAGTAGGTGATTCCACTATTCACATGTTTCCCCACTGAAATGATCCCCGAAAAGGCTGGCCTTGGGCCCCTGTGCCGCCTCAGGAAAGCGCTCTTGGTTCGCCCGTAGAATTCTCAAGTCGAGAACTGAACCTCGAATTCCAGCCAAGCCCGCTCCATTTCTCCCCCGCGATATCCTTGTTTTGGACAAAAGGACGCTGGGAGAATTGTGAATCAATCTCGAGTTAAAGGTTCAGATAAAGACAACAAACAACTATCCCGAACTAAACACTGCAAGGACGTAATGGAATTCTAGAATTCTAGAACCTCCAAATGGCTCAAACAGTCATCTGAGATTCATCTGGGGTGGGGGTACGAGTGCTGACCCAAGTGGGTGGTTAAAGATCCAGCCCCACCCCAAGGCCAAAAAACGGCCAACCCTGGTAAATCCAGCATGCCGATCAAACAAGCCCTCCATTGATTGACTAGGGCGGCTCACAAAACACGGGAATCCCAATCGAGAGGCAACCAGAACCCGAACAATCACAATCTCAGTATTGCTGCTTGCACATTAAATGCCCATCTGCAAGGTGTATTCATCCGGGGGCGGGTGACCCCGACCTTGCTCCTCATCCTCCCGCCCAGAAACTGTCCCGGCCGCTGAGCGTCCAAGTGCACCCATCGCTGCCCGCCGCTGCAGGCGCAGGGGTCGATGAAGCCTCCCTCCTCCGCGCAGGGTTGGGCGGAACAGGTTTATAGCAAACTCCTCAATGGCTCCTCAAAATATAAACAACTTTTGAGCTTGGCTCAAATAGGCAAACTCCTCAATGGCAGGCTTGCCTTTGGCTTCCCTAAAAAAGTAAGAAACAAGGTACTCTCTGGCAAAATAGACACAACGTGTCTTTAAACAACCTTCTAAACATACAGACGCCTTTGGGTGGTGCTTTCCAAAACCAACGAATGGCACCTGCAGGTTTGAACATGCTCATGGTGAGTTACAAGGCCTAATCAACACAGACTTTGTTAATGCTGGTATCTCTTCAGCAGATTGTGGTTGCAGTCCTCTGTCCGATTCAAAGAGCGGCGCGCACTGTAAATAGCAAGCTGTGCTCCA